TAAACCCCTAAACTTGAAACCCCCTAGACCTAAATCCCAAAATCCCGTAAACCCCTAAACTCCAAACCCAAAACACTTAAACCCTAAACTAAAACCCTGAACCCCATAACTCCTGAACCCCTGAACCCAAAACCCAAATGCACTAAACCCCGCATCCACAGGCATCCCTACACCCACCCACCCACCTCCACCCACCCACCCGATCGCTTCATCACCCTGGCCTCGGCGATGTTGTACAACAGCAGGAAGCCAGCACCGGAATTTGAATCAATCACAACAAAAAACAAGTGTGATCAAAATTAAACCTTTAAAACAAATAAAAGCACATGAAGTCAAAAACAAACAAACAAGGACAGAGTTCGCCAAGTACGTGACGAAATGAGGTTTTAGGCCTAAGATTAAAAAGACTTGATAATCTAAAGCCTGTGTTTCTGGACCTTCGCAAACGGATAAGGATTGAACCCCGAAACTAGGCGCCAAAGCCCTCAACACCCCGAAACTGAGCCCAGACCCTATAGAACCACCCCAAAAACTTCAGCCCTAGACCAACACCCCAAACGCCCAAAGTCCTGAACCCTAAACCCAAACCCTAGACTCTAAACCCCTAAACCCCTAGGCCCTAAACCCTAAACCCTAGACTCTAAACCCCAAGCTCAAGGCCCTAAACCCCAAAACGCGCCTTCGCCTCGAGCTCGTCACGGCGGCTCTTTCGCTCAGCTGTGGTCGACCGGGCTGGGACGGTCTCCTTGGGCTCCTCCCTGGGAAGGTGGTAGCTTTTGTGGGGCTGAAGGATTTCTGGTTTAGGGTTTAAAGGGTTTTGGGGATTTCGGCTTCAAAGGCTTCAGGTTCAACGGCTTTGGGGCTGGTGCACCAATGTGGAGCAATCTAGCATCCAACTCAGCCCAGATTCCAGAGTGCTCATGTATGATTTGCTATGTCGCCCCTCTAGCAGGAACCCTTAAAAGGAACCCCGAAGGGCACCCTTAAAGGGACCTTAAACACCCGCCACCACTTTGTTTTGGGATGTCTCACAGCACCCGCCCCAGAAGTCACATCTACCCGGAAAAACTTGGCGTGGCGCAATAATCTCATCATGGTACAAGGGCATCGAACTTATGAGTGCCATGATGATGATGACTATGGTGTTGATTGCTATGGCCATGGGTATTGTAATCAGTACTAGTATTGTGTACTTCATTGCTACTATTATTACTTCAATACTATCACTATAGTTACTACTATTGTTACTGCTACTGCTACTGCTAATTCTGCTGTTACTTGCACTCCTAATGCTACTCTCACCACCGCCACCACCACCACCACCACCACCACCACACCCACTAAAACTACTACTACTACTACTACTACTACTCCTGCTGCTACTGCTGCAGCAGCTGCTGCTGCTGCTGCTGCTACTACTACTACTACTACTACTACTACCACGACGACGACTACTACTACGACTACTACGACTACGACTACTACTTCTACTACTAGTACTACTTCTTCGTCCTCCATCTCTATTTCTATTGCTACTTCTACCACTATTACTCATACTGTTGCTGCAACTACTATTGCTATTACTATTACTCTTACTCTTGCTCTTACTCTTGCTCTTACTCTTACTCTTACTGCTACTGCTACTATTACTATTACTATTACTATTACTATTACTATTACTGTTGCTATTACTATTACTATTACTATTACTATTACTATTACTATTACTATTACTATTGCTATTGCTATTGCTATTGCTATTGCTATTGCTATTACTATTACTATTACGACTATTATTCATTGCTATTGCTGTTGCTATTACTATGAGACTATGACTTTGAGTATGATCGTTATGATTACTGTTCTTGGTACCATTAAATTAATGTTATGAGTATTGTTCAAATTCTGCTGGCCTCTTCTCTCCCGAGCTGCTTTCACTCTCCTCCGAGCACCTCAAGAAATCCGAGGCCGGGCTTCCGGGGCCACCGTTGCAACTTAGTTTAGGGTCCTGGGAGTCTAGGCTGTGGGGTTTAGGGGTGTGGGATTTACAGAAGGGCTTGGGATTTGGAGCTTTTGCAGCTCAGCTCGGGCCACGGCTCGCTGTCGGAAGCATCCTTCTTCGCGGGCTCCTTCTCCACCCGCCTGACAGGACCCACGCAGCTCCCCGGCTTCTAAAGTCTTCCCTCTCCGCACCTGCGCTTCTGCGGCTCGGCGTCCTGTTGCCGGTCCTGTGATTGAGGAAGACTTCTGGGCGACTGGGTGCTGTGATGTGCTGGGCAGCGGTGGACGGCGCCTCAGCCTCATCCCGACTGTCAGAACGAGGGGCGCGACGCACGCGGCGGCGACGGCCCCGTGGATCCTGCCGGTCCTGTTGCAAAGCTCTTGAAGCCTTCCAGCTGTTTGAGCATGCGCCATTCATTTTAGGCGCCTCGACGCTGCGGGGTCGAGAGCGACGCTCATCCTCCGGTCGACCTCTGGGACGCCGCCTCGGTGCTCGGCAAGTCCCTGCATCCCAACTCGAAGGACCCTACGATGCTTGGCCTGTCTGGACGTTCGGCTCGTCGGGAGAAGCCATGCCGTCTTCTGCGCCTTCCTCCTGACATGCACCAAAATCAGCAAACCCGCCTGGGGATGCATCAAGCTCCAAGCCTTCTCCCCGCCGCTCTTCCCACTCTCCGCGGTCCGAACGCCTTCGCTCGGCCAGGCGATAGCCACCTGCGGTGAGGAGAGACACCTCTGCTGACGTTCTTCTCCACCATCAAAACCCGCCTCCTCCTCCGCGATCCCAGTCCCGATCTCGGGGCGCAGGGCCTCAGGGGCTCTCGGATGCTCTTAAGGATCGGATGGATGGCATTTGGCCGAGCTGCCGCGATCCCCGCGACCCCCGCGGTCACCGCGTCGTTCGCGGCCTCCCCGGTCGCCTCCTGAAACTTCGAGCGTTACGGATACAAACTTGGTTTAGGGCCTAGGGCACGCACCTGGCCGATCTCCACGATCTCCGTAGCGCCGACCTCGACCTGAGCAAAGGGGCAAACCTGGATCGCACAGGCGTCCGGGGGCTGTCGAGGAGACGACCCGACAGGCTTCTGCCGCCGCCTGGACATTGTCAACACAAACTAATCATAACTAAAATTGTGATGACAATGATGATGAAAAACAATAATGAGAATAATAATGCAAATAATGAGAATAAGAATAATACAAATAATAATACCTATGATATGAAGACACAGTTAAAAAGGTAACAGTAATGATGATGGTAATAACAATAATAGTAGTAGTAATAGTACTAATAATAGTAATAACGACAATAATAGCAATAACAACAGAACTAATAACAATAAAAAACAATATCAGTAATAATAAGAATAACAACACGAATCATCGTCATAATAAGAAGAAGAAGAGGAGGAAGAATAGTAGTAGCAATCACAATAACAACAATAAGAATAAGCATAACAAGAGGAAGGATGCTAACACCACCGCAACAGCCAACAACAACAACAACAACAACCACAACCACAACCACAACCACAACAACAACAACAACGATAGACACACTAAGAATAGTAATGATGGCAACTAAACATACTAACCATGATACTAATAATTCTACTACTATTATTACTGAAGCGAACACGAACAAGAGTATCAATAATAACAATAGTCATCATCACCATCATCATCATAACTGTAAGCAACAAAAATAAACAATAAAATAATGACAATACGAGTAAATCATCCACCAATCACCCTGCTCTGGGACTCTCCAGGTCGCGGTGCCTGCACGTCCTCGCAAGGTCAAAGCTGGCCTGGCATGTCCAACTGCATCCACAGAAAATTCTTGGAATGATTTCGAATGTACCAGATAGAATCTTCGAGCCTGCTCCCCTACAAAAAAAGTACGAGGATCGAGGCATTCGAGGCCTTCGCCTGTCGCCCCCACCGCCACCGCCACCGCCACCGCCACCACCGCGACGGCTCCGGCTGCGGTCTCTGCGGTGTCCTCGGTCGGGTGGTCCCCGCATCCTTCGCAAGGCACAGCGGCATGCAGCGACTGCAATCACAAGTAGCAGCCACCTCGCACCGCGGTCTGGATAGCGGCCGTGCCGATCGCCACTGCGTGCCTTTCAAACTGACACTCGCTGGACTTCCCTTCGATGTTCTCACAGGATTGCGCTTGAGGCGAAACCAATCACCTGGCGATCTCGCAGAAGCCGAGATCGCTCGTCCTGCACCAAGCTGAAAGTGAGACCAAGCTCCAAGGGCGCAGCCATTTCTGCTCCGCAGAACGCTGCCACAAGTACGACACAAAGCTACTGCAACATCGCCAGAACTCGCATGACAGAGTGAATATGCAAAGAGACACACCTGCTAGAGGCGATTATCCTGCCACCCAAGTATAGGTGTTGACCCTCAAGACCGTGCCTGGTCAATGAGCTTGGCGTCGACAGTCGCTCCATCGACATCCATGCCGTTCAGTTCCTGGCAAGGCTTGCGAGGTAGAGGGCTCAAGATCTCTGACCGTAGTAGCAATTCTGATTATGTTGATTTTCTTATGTTCAGCGGTATTAGTATTGTTGTCATGATGTTATCCGCCTGAGATTGCAGGTGAGAACCTCCACTTCTGCACTTCAACAGCTCCAGCTTGAAGGCCCACATCAAGCTGCATCAAGCTGCATCTCGGACTGTTCGGACGCACCCCTTTACCAACACCAAAAAATTGATATGCGCAACGCACAATTTCAACATATTCGGCCTTTTCGTGGCTCTCCTTTCTTGATGTTGTCGGTCTCAAGAACACAGATCCACACTTCTACAACACTGTCACCAGAGAATACCGAAGCCACTGAAAATTCTTGAAGTTCCGCACCTTGCTTCTCAGTCTCTATATCACCTAGGACCCCTAAAGAAGGTACCCCTAATGCTCTGAACTCTCAGGCGGCCCCCTGAACCCTAAACCCTAAACTGAAACTCTCAGGCGGCCAAACTCTCAGGCGGCCCCCTAAACCCTAAACCCTAAGCCCTAAAGAAGGT